CTGCCAAAGCAAATTGTTTTTCATTACAAGAATGGTGACCTAATCGGAAGTATAGCCAATATATACTTACATACATATATACATATATGTATATTCCGCTGAAAGTTAGGTCATTGAAAGCAAAAAATAAAATTGTTCCTAATAAAATAAAAACTATTGAGTAAATTCATTTATCCACAGCTAGATCTGAGCCTCTATTACATGTACATATATATGAAATGTACATTTTATGATAAGCTTGACTGTGTATTTCCGTGAAATAAAACAAAACCTATTCGTTTTGAAATCAATTAATTTTGCTATCTTTTATTCATAACATACTGCTGTAGAAGTTTTAGTTTTTCTTCTTCTATTTTTAGTTTTTTTTGTTCGATTTCCATCTGGAGATCTCGTTTTWCCACCAAATCTTGTATCTTACTTTGTATATTCGCGAAGAACTTCGATTTTTCTTCTGCACTTTTTCTTTTCAGTTCGATTTTTTGTTCAAAATATCGTTCTCTAGCGCTTTTGCGATATGGAGTAGCATTTGCTGYGTTCGGCTCTTGTGGATATACCTCAGTTGKTGTGCAYATGCTACGATTTAGTGCAGACCGGCTCTGCCTAGAACTACTTTGCATATCGTCGAGCATTGCTTCAAAATCAGTTGATTCTTTTAAGAACTCATTTACTGTTTAAAAATATAAAAAGAAGCGAATTCAATATAAGCAATACGTAATGAACATTAAATTTGAACTAACCACTTGACTCAATCAATGGCTCTTGAGGATCTGTACCAATGTTTATGGTGTGGTTGTTGGACACTAAAAAACTTTCGCCAAAAATTTCGTCCATTCCTGACTTGYAAGGTATTGTTCCATTCTTCTCATTATCTTTCGCTGTTTTATATGCGTTCAATAGCGTTCGCATTTTTGCTACAACGGCTGCCGCATTCACCGTTGTATCCTCTGTTTAAAAATATAAAATAGCGATTTCAATATAGCAATATGTAATGAAAAATAAATTTGAATTAACCACTTGAGTCATCCAATGCTTCTTGAGGATCTTGCGGAATGTTTTTGGTACGGTTGTTGGACACTAAGCAACTTTTACCAAAAATTTTGTCCATTTCCGAAATGTATGGCATTTTTCCAGTMWGYTTCTCATTAGYTTTCGCTGTTTTATATGCGTTAAAAAGCGTTCGCATTTTTGCTACAAGGGCAGCCACATTCACCGTTGTATCCTGTGGAAACAAATGTAATAAATATTTACACATTAACCTGAAAATATTCTTACCGTAAATCCTTGAARTATCATGTCCTTCAAGACGTTTTCATAGGCGAACTTTTTCTTGCGCGAATGCTGGAACTCATCCTTACGCTTGTTATAGCACTTYAGGAATAAGAGCGTCTCGGCCTCTGTCCACACTTTTCTTTTGCTATAGATAAACCAAATAAATAATTACTTAGTTTGTGAAAAGTCTGTTTACAAATTTAAAAATTCAAATTTACCTTTTCTCCATAGGCGTGATTTATTTGTCCAACAAGTTAAGCTATTAGCTGATTTTGTATAGAAGACTTAGCCAACATGGTTATGTTGGCTTGTCATAAGCTGTCATTGCGTGTTTATTGAACTAGAGGCATTGCCAGTTCATCGTTTTTTTTTCATTCACAATAGTTAAATTTTATCCAAAAAAAGTAGTTGCAATAGCGAGAAATCTCATTTTGACAGATGAAAATATAAACAAATCAAAATTACAGATTTTTTGGATGAGTATTAAGTTAAAATTAAGACAAATATGAATACTTGTTTTCAATTCTTTGAATTCTAKACCTCAAATAAATAAAATAAATATTTAGCCACACAAAAATTTATTATTAATTTAAGCGATAAATAAAACTTTGTTTTAAAACGTCAGTGATGTCAGTCTCTTTAGCAATTTTTGTATATTTGAAAATATACATCTGTGACTTCTTCTAATTTAATTTCAATTATTTCCAATACTGATGTGCTTTGATATATAGTACRAAAGTGAACGACATTTAGTTTTCAATTGTGTCAATGATTAGTAAAAGACCTGTTCACATGTTAAATATAAATATTTTTAAAGTGTTTAAAATTACTTCAAAACTAATAAGCACTTATAGTTTTAACATAGTAGTCTGAACGACAACAGAAGTAATTTTCAAAAGTTTCGGCAAGACTTAATAAGTCWGTTACTACAATTTGACAGAGGAAGCCACGAGTTTGGTTAAAAGTATTTGGTATCAAAATACCTTTAAATTAATGAAAAATCGTATATATAATTACTTAAAATATAACACTGATTGCGTAATAATTTACATGTATGTAGAGAAAGAAGTAAATTTACATAATCAAAAATTACAAAAAACCATAACGTTATATAATATGTGTTAAATTCCACACCAACGCATCCACTTGCATATCTTGCTGACGTAATCCACACGTGGCTCACATTCCAATTTGACAGCTGCGTAATTGTGAAATTCATTGTGAATGAGCATTTATTAGAGTTTTTGCGCTTTTGTAAATTTGTCGGTCGTAATTCAAGTAAAAATTTKGGAAAATATATATTCAAAAAATAAGAAAAAATATGTGTGCTGCTAAACTAGAGGAAGCGCTAAATGATTGTGTAATAAATTTCGACAAGCGTGTGTTRCTAACGGATTTAATAAATGAGTATCACATGCCAATTGATGAAATTAGTTCTACGYTAACAAAATATTTAAAGCAACAAGAAAAGGAAGGCACCAAATTTGAAAAGCGGTATGTAATCCATGGCCTTGAAAAGGAAGATGCCAATAAAGAGATATTTACTACCGTGAAAGGCGAAGAAAAGCTGAAGGAATGGTTAAGTAAATTGGAAGATGTCGAGTCCGCGCTTTACTCTGTTGAAATAGCCGGTGGTGCAAAAGCGCCGGCTGAAGATTTAAAACCGGTAACATGGTGCGCTATCAAAATAGAAGACTTACAGAAACGGACGGGTGGTGCTAAAGCAATCAATGGCCATGCAGAATCGATTAAAAATGAATGCGTTAAAGTGGAAAGTAAAACAGATGTTAAACCTGCGAAAGGAATTGCGAGCGCTTTTGCAAAARCTAAACAAAGCAATACTTCAGATAGTAGCTCTGTTACAGATGCTAAAAACAAAGATGCTGTTACATCTAAAACTAAAGCAGCAGCAAAAGATAAACCATCACCACAAGATAAAGCAAAAAGCGAATTAGATGMTGTCAAAAAGTCGCCACAAAAGACAATCGAACAAAAAAAAATATCGCCAAAAGACAAAAAAGCCGCAGCGGCAGGTAGTGGTCAAAAAGGTATCGGCAATTTTTTTGCGCCCAAAGGAAAACAACCTGCGGAAACTACAGGTAAAGCGGCTACTGGAGTCATCCGTCAAAAGTCGCCCAAGAAATTAAATGATTTCTTTAAAAAGCAAACTGACAAYAAAGAAACAGYCAAAAAAGAAGCTGATAAAGCCAACACTTCAGCACAATTGTTCGACGATGAAGATGACGGTGAGCAGAAGGAGGAAAGTAAAATGGAAGAGGACGAAGAGGCACCAGTTGAAGTGCACGTCGAATCATCGGATGAGGAAGAAGAGATCAATAAGCTGCGGCGCAAAGTGAGAGAAACTGAGACGGCAGAAGCAGCTACTAGTCGCAAACGTTTGCGTATCGAAGATTCAGACGATGAAGATGATGTTGYGGGAGAAGAAGAACAACCACAGCCAAAGCAAGGCAAGATCGATACAGMAGAAGTAACTGAAATAGCTGATACACCGACAAAATCAGAAACATATTTGGATGAAGATGGTTTTGTGATTACGATTAAGTCGAAAACGCATGCACGTCAAAAGACACCGAAGAAGACAAGCCCAAAGAAAAGCCCGAAAGAAAGCAAATCCAAGCCAACACCAGCCGCCAAAACGAAGCAGGGCAACATCATGAATTTCTTTAAAAAGAAGTAGTTGAGAATTTAATAATTATTATGTAATTTTAAAATTTTTAGATTTTAATCTTTATTGAATAAATTTTGTTTATAAAAGAAAATTGTTATTTCTTTATTGTGGTTTTATGCATTAGAAATTAGGCACACAACTTGTTTGCCTATCGGCAATCGATAATTTCAACCCATAAATTATAGCTGTTTATTACCAATTTGAAAGTATTAACGTAATATATTTTAAATTTTACAGGGGTACTTTATTATAACAAAATCTTTATACTTTACATACGCTAGCAAGCAGCTGAAAACTTGCTTCCTTTCTAMACGTTACACGTCACTACTAGTCCTCCACTGCCGCACTAAACCCATACAGAAATGGTGCGCTTCGAGCCCTTAGGACAGAAAATGTTCACACGCCGCAATTGGTTGCTCCGCTGCAGCATATTGATTAATATACTGGTCATACTCTACATATGYAGTCATGTTATGATTGGCAATGGCACCGGTTTTAACGGCAGCAACACATTCTTCATACAGGAACGCGGCGTGGATACAGCGAATAGCGTAAGCACTTTCATATGAAACCATATATGGAATTGAAAAATTAAATAATGCGTTTTTCACTTACAGGCACAACTAATRGGTGACAAAATACAACCGCCCCCGCCACCGCCACCTGCATCAAACGATCTATCACTACCGCCACTATCACCCAACGACTCCGGTGGCGCTGCGGCGGCGGCGCCTGCTACAGCTGCTGATGCGCCCGCACAAAACCAAGCTGGTAGCGCCGTGGCGGGGAATATTGGTGGCGTTGCTCCCATAGTAGAATCCGTTGTATACACAAATAATACTGTAAATGATGGCGATGCCGCAGTCGCTGAAGAAAAAGACCYAGTAGTACCACTGGAAACGCTCTTAAACTGTTACGATCGCGACTTCAAGCCTGAAGTCTTGCAACGTGGCGATTTCTGGGTACTCAARAATTACGTGCGCGCCGATCATGGTCCGCTCAAGTGCTCCGAATCGATCACTTATACAACGCATGCGGATTATACATTTTTAGATAATCTTATACCGCTGCTGGAGCGGTGAGTCCATCTTAAATATTTCGTGTATTATATCAAGTAATAATTTCAAATTATATATTTAGTTGGAATGCGCCCGTCAGCATTGCGATGCACACACCGGGCACTGACTATCAACCGACCATTGAYGCCATTAAGTACCTGCGCGAATGCCTGCCAGAAAGTCCGTTGGTGCGCACTTTTACCACATTTCATCTTTACTTCAGCACGAAACACATACCCAAACAGGTGGCGAAGCAGTCAGAAGTGCTGAAAACGCCCTATAACTGCACATTGCCGCCACCCTATTTCAATATTAGTTCCGGCCATTTATATAAGTCACAAAAGAAATTATTATATCCGGTGAATGTGGGTCGTAATATAGCGCGSGATGCTGCCTTAACACATTTCATATTAGCCTCAGATATTGAATTGTATCCAAATCCCGGTTTGGTGAAGAAATTTCTCGAAATGATTGCGCGCAACGACGCKTATCTGCAACGTAAAGCGCCGAGGTAGATGCAACTAAATACAATATTTTACCATTCTTCACTGCTATATTTTCCATTGCTTACAGAGTATTTCCGCTCTCCATCTTCGAGGTGGAGGCSAATGCAACTGTGCCACGCGACAAAACGGAGTTGCAAGAATATTTGCGCACCGGCAAAGCGATACCCTTCCATAAGCGCGTKTGCGCCAGTTGTCATGGTGTGCCACAGTCCAAGGAGTGGATGGCCGCAAATGAAACCGATGAGCTGAGCGTTTTYCACATAGGCAAGCGTACCGGCTATTTCCGGCATTGGGAGCCCATCTATATTGGCACACATGCCGATCCGCACTACGACGAGCGACTGAGCTGGGAGGGCAAAAGTGATAAGATGACGCAGGTAAGACGAAGTGTGACAAAGTTTGTGATTTAAAAAGCAAATTAAAAAACTAAAAAATATTTAAATTAAAAAAGTTGTAAATTGAAAAATGTAAAAAAATTAACAAAATTTGAATTTCCAAAAAACAA